GTATTTCAGTCAGATTTTTTTATACATCGGCAAACTTTTTGATTGAAAATAAAGTGCTCTTAATGCATTTAAACAACCTTCCTCTACAATATGATTTTTTAAACAAATCTTGAGTCCTTGTCCAGATGACTCTCTGTCTTATCAGTGGAGACGGAGCTTCTCTCTGGCTGAATACAAGAGGACACGACCGAGTCATCTGTCATCTGGATCCCGTCCTGCTTGTTATCACTTCAGACTCAGCAGCCCGCTCTAAACCACTCGCAGCTAATGGCGCACTGAGGGCTGAGACGTTCGCAGTGGCCGAGTCCATGTTGGCTGCAGGCGACGGAGAGAAGCAGGCCGAGCTCAAAGTTTGAGTAACAAGCTTGCACAGCGGCAGCATCGTGTGAGTGAGCCGGGCAGAGATAATGCCTGTTCACAGGGGACGTGCATTATGTGAGGATGTCGTGTAATTAATGAATAAACCTCTACAGCTGCATGAAAACACCTGCTGCTACAAAGAGAGCAGGAGTCAGAAATCAAATCTTTACATGATAAAGAAGACGTAGCAGGAAATGAAAATTAAGACGAAGAAGGACGTGTAGAAGATAAAGAAGAAAAAATGGATTACCAGCCTTACATTAACTACGTCTTAGAAGGCATTACAGTTTTACTTTTATCTGCTTCCTCCAAAATATCTAAAGCAACTTATTTACAAAATTCGACTGACGACAAATAATGAGCAAATCCATTGCTCCATCAAAGCTAGAACTATGAGAAATTACTTATACCATTAATGGTTTAATAGTTTTCTGTTGATTGACTAGTGATTAAATCAACTATCAGCCTTAAATCAGTTTGTTAGTTAGCTGCATTTACTCTAGACTGCAAAGATAGGAAGGTTAAGAAAAAAGGTTCAGCTATGGACAAAAGTATAAATACATATATATAATATAATAAATTATTATTTTAAGGATTTATTTTTGGTAGTTTTCAGACTGTCCTAGCCTGATAACTTATATTTACTTTAGGGCTGCGACTGACGTTTACTTTCATTATCAATTAATCTTCTTCTCAGTTATTTTCTCAAATACTTGAAAAATAGTGAAAAATGCCCAAAACTGTTTCCCAGAGCTTCCCAGAGTGACTAATTCAAATGGCTTGTTCTGTCAGTCCAAAGAAAACCCAATTAATCTCTTGCTGCTTCATTTTTTATCAACTAATCGATTATAATCAACTAATCATTGGTTCCACTTTCATTCATTCAGCCTGACATTCATGTCTTGAATGAAGCTGCAGTAACAGTTAAGAGTAATGATCATGATCAACTTTTTTGTCACCACTTTTGTAGCCTTTGACCTGTCACTATTCTTCTTGGATTTAGCTAGCTGTCTACTGTTAGGACGATAATACTTAATACTGCCTACAAAGCTGGATAGATAGATAGATAGATAGATAGATAGATAGATAGATAGAATAGATAGATAGATAGATAGATAAGTATGACAGATATGTATCATTATTAGGACAGAGGGGGGTGTTTAGTGTTTTGTGGGGGGGGATGTACCATGTTGTTTGGGGTCAGCGGTGTTTGGAAGTCTCTGCCTTTGTTCAAATCTCATCAAGTGTAAAAATCGGGGGCAGGCCTGAGGCCCTCTGCATCACCGTCATGTCTCTGCTCCAACAGATCATCCGACATAACAAACATTAACCTTAACATTAACATTAACCTTAGTGTTGATTGTTGGCGGCTCTCACTCTCACTGCAAACAGGGTTATGAGGGCAGAGATGTAATTTACATGTTACACGTTTGGGGAGGCACAGAGATAGACTTGTGAGTGGAAAAAGCATCACTTCCTGCTGAAATCAACAATTTAACAAGCAGTTGACGATGAGGTTTTTTTTGTCTCTGGGGAGCTGAGCGTCAGACGGTTATGACATAAACATGCTCAGGAACAGTGACTGAAATTAGTCCGGGACTTTATATTCTATTTCTGACAAACGTCGGATATGTTTGTATACTATAAATGCATTCGACTGTTGTCAGTAAACAAAAAAACAACCCAAAAAGAACCCTGAAGCAGCGTTAGAGAGGTGTTTCCATAGGGCTCGGTACTATTTGAGTACGAACCAAAATGTGTCTGTAGCATCGAGAATAAAAAATTGTAAAATCAATGAGCATCTTGGTTTTGTTTAATTATTCTTTGACCATATTTTGCCTTATTTAAAATCATAAATCTGGTACATTTCATCCCTATTTTGTTAGGGCTATCTTTCATGGGATGGACGTAACGATACACTCAACTCACGATTCAATACAATTCACCAAACAATTTTCTTACAAATTATGACTTCTCTTATGCTTTGTCCAATTATAGAATCTTTTTTTTATTTCTGTGGAAGGATATAAATTGTGCAAAACGGATTTCCTTTTGTGAAGTGAAACTGATCTTCTCTGTCTTCACATTGCGATATCTTTACACTCTTACTGTTTTGTGTTAGAACAGACATTCGGCTTATTCTGTTAAACACAGAATAAGCCGAGAAAAAAGAGAAAAAAACATTTATATTTATATAAAACATATATTATATAATATTCTATATTTTATTTTTGTATCATTACCAACACTGTTTTACATATTGTCACTAGTATAGAAAACTTTCAACATCTAGCATACAAGGTCCGCCAGATAAGCCTCCAATTCTGTCTTTATTTGATAAAGTGGCCACTAAATGTGACATAACAGCACTCAAAAGTATTTGTTAAAATCCCTGTAAATGCTATTTCACTCAAAATCCCCAGGTTTGTCGTGGTGAATGCAAAATGTGTTCAAACTGTTTATTTTAGAGGGTTGCAACTAACAATTATAAATATTATCTACCAATCTGTCAGCGCTATTATTTATGTATGTAGACGAGAACATCATCAGCAGACGCCAAACCAAGAAACAAAATGTGGAACCAAAACCAATATCTCCCCCAAAACCACGATGGCTGAAACGAACTGAAAGCAGAACCATTACACTGTATTCAAGGCAATCTGACCTCATTCACTCTAATGACCCACAACAGATGGCACAGGTTCACATTTCCTAGTTAAGATGGTGACTGGAGAGTGTTTGACTCTGCAATCTGAGCCAAAACACTGCGCAACCTCCAGTGATTTTGAAATTAGCGGTCACTCATCAATCAGCTATTGTGTACCGACTGTAAATCTAATAACACCACTTAAAACAGATGCATCCATCGGTTTAATTAAATGAGAGAGATGATAATGTGAAAACAATGTTACAGCTGGATCTGCAGCTCCCCTCGGCTTTGCAGAGCTTCGTAGCGAGTTGAAGCTCATTGTTTAGCTGTCCGGCCCACAACTTTACTGTTTTGGTTCGCTGTCACTGCTCTAATAGTGTTGTTTTCAGAGTAAAAGTGAGTAAAAATCCACAATACACTATACCTTCTCAGCAGCAAACAGCAGACAGACACAGAGACTAGCAGGTGAACATTAATGGAGCTTTTAGCAGCTAAAGAGCCAGAGGAGTTGGTGGAGACCAAAAACAGAGCTAAAAGAGAGTAAATACTGGATAAACATGACTCTAAATAAATGATCACGTTGCTCCGTAACTGCTGGATGTGGAAATCAGAAACTGTTAGCTAACAAGTTCAACATTTCTCTTAAATGTTATCTTAAAATGCATTAAAAAAATGTTATTGCAGGTTTAAGGTGGAAAACTTGGACTGGAGTTTTGTTTATACTGCTACAGTAGTGACTACTGGCATATCACGATCAAGGACAACAGGTTACAGTTTAACTTTAAACCTACAGTCCTGCTCAAAGTCAAATATTACCTCTCTGGTTTTTACCTGGTTCATTAACTCCTAACAGTTTCCCCCAATTGAATAAATTAATCTCTTTCACTTCCCTGTCAGACGACAAACAAACAAACCACCATAATAGTCCTAGAAAATACAGCTAATGCAACCCTCTTTCTTTCATTTGGCATCACTTTAATTCAACTATAACGGTCTTATGGGTCACATGCTGGAGGGAAAGTCCAGCACTTTCTGGTTCCCGGCTGCTGCACAGTACTGCATTCATGACAGAAAGAGAAACTGTGGGCACAAATTTCAAACCTGGACGTTTTATTTTAAGGTCCAGTGTGCAACATATAGGAGGCAGAAATGGAATATAATATTGTTTTCACTAGTATATAATCACCTGAAAATAAGAATCACTATTTTTTTTTAATCTACAGATGGAACGGGTCGCCTTCCATGTTAGCCGCCATGTTGAACCGCCATGTTTCTACAGCAGCCCAGAACGGACAAACCAAACACCGGGTGTAGATAGGGACGTTTCGTTACCACCGTAGTTTCTCCTTGGTGCTTGGAAGGGGAGGGTGAAGCCACTAAATCCTACATACCGGAGCTTAAACTACTTATTCTGGTTCAAAAAGACAAAAAATAAAAGCACATATTGTGTTTTTGTCAGACAGGAAGCAATTTTCCTTTTCTTCTCGGAACAAATACCAAAATTCCCACATGTGCAAACATTCGCAGGCTGTTTATTAACTTGGATACTTGTTGGCCTTTAAAAAAAAATTCCTTGTTTCATGAGGAACTATGATATCTGTCTGGTTTGAGCACAGTAAATTCACTTTCATTTTTATTGCACTATTTCCAAGTGAGGAAAGGCCACAAAGGGGTGATGATGGAAACCCCCCCCTTTCCTTCTCCTCCTCTCCCCTCTCTCCCCTCCCACCCCCCCGGCCTCGCCCCTCTCCTCTCCGCCCTCGTTTGGGGATGCAGGGGCTCATCAGTATCTCTGGACCAGGCCCGTGT